TTGATAATAAAGAAACCATTGTCTTTGCATTCAGTGAGTTGTCTCCTTGGCAGCGGTTCTTTTGGCGTCCCGCGGTAACCTAACTAACCTCAAACTAAAAGAGTCTCAACCTTCTTGCACTTATCTTTTATCCCAGTTTATTAACCCAAGATCTCAGCTCAGAGATGTACTGCTTCCTCCTATTTCCCCTGAGAAGATAAAGACAAAGGTAATCAGCCCATCTTATTTGCCTTGCTGACCCTGAGACACTCAAGCCTCACATTGTATTGCAAAAAGAATTACTGTTGTAAATGCACACAAGAACTGGGGGAGAGAAAGAGAGAAAAGATAATAGTAATAGTAATAATGCTGCTGATAATAATAATAATAATGATGATGATGATGATAATGATAATAAAGGAACATGCAGAGGAGCAACTGTGTGTGCATCAATTCTTTTTTCCCTCAGACTTTAGTTCCTTTGCTTACTTGTGGCTCCTTTTTTTGAACCCATCTTCCACTCTGCCTGCCCACACTCAACCCAATTCGACCTTCTATATTCCATTATTCCCCATCTTCCCTTTACCCTACTTCATTTTATCTTCCCCTTTTGGAAGCTCTCCACACAGTCACATACCTCTTGAGTATTCCAAATGAAACATATATCTAAAGATTCAAATTAATTTTATTTTATTTTTTGGTTTTTACGAGACAGGGTTTCCCTGTGTTGTTTTGGAGGCTGTCCTGGAACTCACTCTGTAGACCAGCCTGGCCTCCAACTCACAGAGATCCGCCTGCCTCTGCCTCCCGAGTGCTGGGATTAAAGGCGTGCGCCACCACCGCCCAGCTCCAAATTAATTTTAGTATATAAAATAATGACAGTCTCACACATACACATCAGGTCTTCCTTGCTTTTTATTTCTTCTCTCCATTACCCTCTTCACCCCTCTCCCTAACTTGTCCTCTTCCTCCCCAGCAGGTATTCCTAATCCATTTCTTTAACCAATATAATGAATATAAATATGGAATATCAAGATTTTATCAACACCTGTGAAGAAACTATGCCAACTCCCAAACTGTGAATGGGATAAGACTAAGAAATACTGCCAGGCGTTGGTGGCACACGCCTTTAATCCCAGCACTCGGGAGGCAGAGGCAGGAGGATCTCTGGGAGTTCGAGGCCGGTCTGGACTGAAAGCCTCCAAAACAATACAGAGAAACCCTGTCTCGTAAAAACCAAAAAAAAAAGACTAAGAAATAATAATTTACTCAATGATGAAAAGTTTATGTATTAACTATAATGTGCTGAATCCTTTCTTTGGGTTTAGGCTTCTTTCCACTAAGCTGTGTTGTGTATCTACTGTGCTAGTGTTTTGTGTTTTCCCCATTGCATTCTAAGCTCACTGATGCAGCTGGCATGGACAGAAATGGTCTCAGGTTTTATAACAACCCTCAGTGTCTTCCTAGTGCTAAACATGCAGCTAACATTTTCGGGGCAGTGGGGGGCAGCATGGCAGAGACAGAGGTAAAATTCTTAAAACAACTTCAGTGGCACACTCAAGAGTTTTGGACAGATCCAGGGGAATCTGGGATACACACCCATTGGCTTGGTTACTGTGGAAGTGTTTTTCTTAGGGGACATCGGGGACAGTGTGTCCAGTGGAAGATGCAGCTCCCACAGTGGCAGCTGAAGATTATAAACTATGTCGGCTCTCTGGGAGTTTGATCTTACAGGTCAAAGGCTCCTTCACCAGGAGGAATGAGGGGAATAGGGTTGAGGGTGAGGTGTTCTGTTGCTCCTAGAACAGAGGGACATATACAGGGATTCTGTGAGTTCACTTGGGCTCATCTGCCTAGAGACGTCCTTTCGTCGCATGCACTCCTCTGCCTCCCACAGCCTTTTGTGGCGCAGGAAGCCTATGTGGCATCTATCCCAGCTTCACCCCTGTCTAGCCCCTGCAAGCCTGTGGTTTCTATTGCCTCCCTTGTGCCCACTGGGTCTAACCTGAAGTGAAGAACTCATATTTGCTCCATTTCAGATATTTACACCATTGTGCTCTTGTAACTGACTTGTAGGAATTTGGCAGAGGCAATGTTTCTAGGATATAAATTAGAACAAACAGTTGTTTTCTAGAAGTACTTTGGCCTTGAAGACTCATTGTGGTGAATAATAAAGCATCCTTGTGGAGAACAGGGATGTCTTCCATGATTTGTAGAATTGTTTTACTGGAGGAGGTGTTGCAGCCATCCGATGACTTTAGTCACGAGATGTCTCTGGCACACCCGAGGCTCTTGTATTATTGTTTATTGCAAATGATACACAGTAAAGGACTAGAGCCATGAGGACATGGGATGCTCTCCCTCAGTGAGACAGGTAAATTAGGTTAGGGAACTTGGTATGAGGAGATACTCTGTGTAACAATCAGTAAATATGCCTGGTTACCTGGTCAGGGTCCAGTCCATCAGAGGAGGCTGAACTTTCCTGCTGCCACATTGGCTGCAAAATTTCATCTTGGAGTAACCTCTTTCTTTGACTGACCCACACAACATAGAACACCCGACGGGCCTCCATTTCCTTCCCTGCCTTCAGAATTCTTATTGTGAGAACAGAAGAAATGCACCTGGTCACCTTCTCGAACTTAAAGCTTTTTATACCACACATTATCTTTGTAGCTACCTGTATATTTTATGAAAATTGAAAATACCATCATAGCCATGCACCTCATGAAAAAAATTTGGGGTAATTATGGGCCACATATCCAGCAGAGGACCTATAGGATCCTGTCATCTTGGCTTGGTGAATGCATCCTATCATAGGAGTTGCTTTTCTTGCTTCTGTGACAAATATCTGACAGATAGCCCCCTACCCAGCCACTCATGACTACTAGCAAATTGACGTGAGCCAAGTTAAGTTTAAATGATGAGACGTACGTGACTTTTGGTTATGCATTGTTCCATGCTCTTCCCAACTATGCAAAACTGGCAGTATCAGGGGGTGCAGAGTAAATACCACCCGAAAATGCCAGAGAGAAACAATGGACTAGATACAAATGCTAGTTTACCTGAGAAAATCTATTAACGAAAATTGTAAAAAGCAATTTGTAACTGAGTTTTACCTCAAGATTATAAAAATTCTCTTATTCATGACTAATGCTTGCTTCTTACTACAAAAAGGACAGTTCAAAAACTGCCCAATTTGCCACAGCTTCAGAAGCCCAAACCCTGGCTGTGGTTACCGCTATAGCTGATAAGCTTCTGTGCCCCTCAGAGATTTCCCCCCTTTTTCTTTTCTTGGAATAGAGCTTGCTTCTGGTTTAGTAGACTTTGGTGGCCTGTCCCTCATCATTGTGTAGCCCCAACACAGGATGGCTCTTCCCACCCCTGTCAGTGCCCGTAGAAATAGCTTTGCTTCATCTTGACTCAAGGTCAGAGAGTTCAAAACTATCCTTGCTCTTTAAAGATTAAAGTCCTAAGACCTAAAGGTCTAAGGTGTGGTTACTGAAGGATGTTTGCTCTAAGGTGTGCATATCTAACCTATATAACAAGAGATTTGGTCTAACTTATGGTTACTCTTAATCCTCAAAGGCAGATAATGAGGGATTTGGTCTAAGGTGTAGTTACTAAATGTTTGGAGAATTAAGGAAGTAATGTCTGTTTGTTCCTTGTATCACGATAAAGAAGTCTTTTGCCCCCCTCCCCCTTTTTGGTTGGGGTATATAAGACTTTTGAGCAATAAACTTGAGGCATTCAGTATTCACTGGATTGCCCTCCCAACTCTATTCTGTCTCTTTTCTTTAGTATTTTTAATTTTTCTACCTGATGTTTCTCAATCCACACTCCCCCTCTCAGGTACAGACAAGGCAAGTCAGCTCGATCCAACTGAAGCACCCCAAAGACAGGTTCCAACACATCTCACCTAAATATCTCTGGAAATGCCCTCACAGACACACCAAGATGTTGTGGAATATTATTTTAAGATGTGTTACATTTGTTTATCTGTGGAACATTTGTTTAATGATTCAAAAGATGTGTTGCATTCTTTTATGTTGTGATTGTTTAACTCTGTGAAGCTGTGTTACTTTGCCTGTCTATAACACCTGATTGGTGTAATTAAGAGCTGAACAGCCAATAGTTAGTCAGGAGAAAGGATATGCAAGACTGCCAGGCAGAGAGAATAAACAGGAGGGGAAATCTGGGAGGAGAGTAAGTGCCAGTCACCCAGCTATGCAGCTAGCCTAGGAAAAAAGAAGTAAGGAAAGGTATAAAGAATAGAGAAAGGTAAGAGCCCAGAGCCAAAAGGTATAATTTAAGAAAAGCTGGCTACCAACAAGCCAAACTAAAGCCAGGTATTTATAAATAAGAATAAACCTCCATGTGAAGTATTTGGGAGCTAGGTGTCAGGCCCCCCAAAAACTAAAAAGAGTAAAACAAAAACAAACAAACAAAAATTACTAAGAGCTGTGTCATCTGGACGATTCCAAAAAGTTTTGACTTTTTATAAAATTTTTGTTATAAATTTTGCCTTTTTATAACATTAAAATATTTTTCATCACTTTGAGATTCAAAGTTCTTTTTATTAAAAGGTTATGTTAAAATGAATGGAGTTATTTTTTCTTTTCTGCTTTGTTTTTTTTTTTGTTTTTTGTTTTTTGTTTTTAGACAGGGCCTTCCTATATAACTCCAGCTTGCCTGGTGTAGACCAGCTGGGCCTTAGATTTGTGAGGATTCCTCTGCTCTGTCTCTGGAGTGCTGGGATTCCTGGGGTACACCCTGTGCCCTGCTATTTCCTTATAGCAAGTGAACACCAAGGCTGATTTCACACCCTACCTCCCTGGCGCCTGACTGGAGACGGATGACAGTGGTCAGAGCTGGGAATGAAAAGAGAAAGTTCAACCTTTGTTAAGATTCCTGGGCATTCTATGGCTGTAGTTGATTGTTTCTGTGTCACTGGGCACAGGATTATATGGTCCTGGCTCCAGTGAGCTCCAAGATGAAAGACAGGAAAAACAAAAACCAGTAACTGACTCAACAAAAGGTGATTTATCGGCTTTGTACAGTTACTGAATCAGGGCCACTGAGAGATTCTACAGTAGGTATGATTTGAAAGATGCCAAATGAAACAGAACAAACAAACAAAAAACCCAGGTCAGGGGAGAATTCAAGGGTATGTGAGCTGTGAGGGGAACAGTCACAGGTCCAAGGGAAAAGTGAGACGGAGGACACCTGGAGAAGACAACGTGATGAATTGGGCCAGGAAACACTCCTTGCCAGGTCATCCAACTCACCACCGCTGCCCTGGGGAGGGCCACACTCCTGCAACAAAACAGACAGGAGAGGGATGGGTTCCAAAGACTTCTGAACTGTGATCACGCCATGCACAATTCAACAATGTTCCAACTGTGATTTCATCAGTCTCCTCCTCCCTCGCTCCCCACTGTGTGGTGGCTTCAGCTCCCCAAACACAAACCCTCACCTTTCTTTCTTATAAGGGCCCTGGGTGTCTGGAGGGGCCACCTGATCGCAGGCCTCGAATGATGTAGATGGTGCCCACCACGATGCCCACAATGCCCACGGACAACCCCAGGGCACAGACCACAGTCTCCGGCAGCTCTGACACGGGGGCTGGAACCTCGGGTTCTGGGAAAGGGAAGATTCTGGAGTCAGGAGGGAGTGTGTTCATGTATGTGTATACAAAACGGCCCCTGTGAGGACAGACGTCAATCCACACAGACTTTGGGGATGGACTTATGGAAGATCATGAAGTCTATCATTAAAAACTCTTTAAGAGTAGAAAATGAATTTTGTCACCAGAGCCAGAAGACAGACTTCTAGAGATGACAGTGCACAAGAAAGCGCAGGAGCAGGCAGAATTCACACAAACCCCAGTGTTTCAGCATCGGCTCGTCCAGGCCCCAGTGCTCCACCCTGCAGTCATAAATGTCATCATCAGAAGGGATGAAGGTGAGGTAAACCATCTTGTGGAAGGAATAGTCATTGTTGAAGAAGAAGCTGGTCTCATAAGCACCGTCTGTGACTGGCTTGCTGTTTCTCAGCCACGTGATGTTGACCACAGGAGGGAAGATGTTGTCCACGAAGCAGATGAGGATGTTGGGCTGACCCAGCAGCACAGGGGACTTGGGGAACACGGTCACCTCAGGAACCTCTGGAAGGGAAATGGCCTGGCTGTGAATGGCTGGCATTCTGCTCATCTGGTGAGGGAGCCTCCTTGCCAAGGCTCGCATCCATGATGATGAAGGAGCCTGAGCTTCCTCCTGCTGGGAGCTAACGTGTAACTGACTCCACTTTATCCCGTGCCCCTCTCTCTAGGGTGTTAGGAAGTCTGTTGGAGCCGCTTTGAAAGGCTCAAGGAGTGCATTGTGGGAACAAGAGCTTTGTGTTACACAGAATATGTGATTTGTAAGGAGAGAGGATGAGGGTGATGAGATCTGGGCATGCCTTGGAAAGGAGAGTGTAGGAGGAAACAGTGTACCGCCATTAACCATGTGACTTACTAGAGGCGCACACAGATGAGGCAATAAAAGGTCGGTTTGCTGCACCACTAACCACACCCACTTTAGGCATGACTAAAGACGTATACGGATGTAGGCAGTGAACTACGTCACTAGCCAGGCCTACTTTTTTGGCATGGCTAGGGGTGTTATGGAGGAAGGTATAAAAGACTGAACAGCAGAAGTCTAGCTCTCTTTTTCTGGCTTTCCGGCTTCCGGTTCGGTGGTGGAAAACTACTCGGCTCATCTGGGTTACTTGTTTGTCTCTTGTGAGTAATTTCTACAATAAATACTTATTTTTACTTTCAGTAAGTGTGCCGTTTATCGTTGCAGCATCAGGAGAGGGTTTTCTAGAGCAGAGGCTCACGTTCCCCACCAGGGAAGGGAGGGAGGAGTTGGGTGCTGAGCACTTACTGTTGGTAGCTGGGGTAGAATTGGTCTGTTTCATCAGGATGTCCAAGTTCTGCTTTGCTGCAGCTATAGCTTGCAGTCCTCCCTGTGGGTCAAAGCTTGCCTGCTGGCCAAACTCAGGAATCCTCCAGATCGTCTCCTTCTTATCCGAGTCCACATAGAACAACTCATCGCCATCAAACTCAAACGTGAACTGGCCATTGGGTTGTTGAGACTGGTAGAAGTCTAAACCGTAGGCGCCGACATGGTCAGCTGGTAAATTTAGGTGGAAATGGGAAAATAGGAAAAAATAGAAAACGGAAAGAAAAGGGAATGTTATTAAACATAATGATAGAGAATACTTTTTAAAATAGCATGAGCTTCATTTTTTGGTACATTTCCATCACCCAGTCCCCACTACCCCTCTCAGTGTTGGCTGCAGTCCAGTCTTTTCCTCTGTGACATGTGTGGCAGGGTGTCATGTGTTTGGTTTCTGCTATCCTGACTGCCTTGGTCACTGCCTGGCACACTAGCTCGCAACTGAATGGAAGAAAATTTCAGGTATTCTGCTTTCTTTTCAAAGATTCAGTCCGTTTATTTCCTTCTCTTATTAGCTTTAGTGTCCATACGTTAATAACATATCTATTACATTTTATTTCTCTTCAAAAAAAGGACATTTTCCACACAAGAAAACTTTATGTTTTTAACAAATAAAAAAGCATATAGAATCTTATAGAAAGAGAACAATGACACAATTACAAAATATATAACTACTATGTCTACAGTTCCTGCATTGTTAACTGTGGGGACCTACAGAACAGTTTTCTGACTTCTTCTAGAAGAAATAGAGACTTTATTAGATTATATGCTTCTGTCAAGCCCTACCTCTTGCCTTTTCCAAATCAACACTGACATTCACTTGCAGATTTGTGGTGAATTAAAACTTTTGCCTCCAACAGCGAGCATGTGAGAGAGGCCACACTGAGCAGTCACCAAGCAGGCAATTCCACCCAAAGAACACCAGATACACATCATTGTCAAGGCATAGATAGTATCTAGTATTCATCTTTTCCTCCTTTTCATTTATTGAGTTTCAGCGAAAGCCAGACATAGTGCTGTGTAAGGGGTAACTGGCTGGTGAATTCTAGACAAGCTGAGTATGTGCACAGAGTATGCGCAGTGTGCTGTGGATGGCTGTGGACAGGTTACAGTCCGGCATTCTGCACAAGCAAATACCAATCAAAAATAACGGCACCACCCTCTCGTGGTCCTGCTGTTAGCGGGGGTCTCTTTTTCTCATTGAAATAAAGGTTGTTGCTGGTTTTCAATTTGCTGAAACCTCCTCTGCTTTGACGGCTTGCGCTCGGTTTTAATTAATACATTTCCAACAACACTATGACTCCCCCCCCCCATCTCCTAGCCATGATTGACTGCTCCTCTGGCTCCTCCCTTCCCAGGGCGATCATCTTGGTTGGTATAACCAGCCCTCCCCTCTTGCCCCACCACACAGACACCACAGCTCCCCCTCAAAGCTTTCTTATTCATTACTAATAAATCTTTTTGATTCCTTTTCCAAATGTGGTCACACAGCACGTGGTCTAGCAGGTTTTTGTCCTGGGTCACAAGAGCTGCTGAAGACACTGCACGGTGCACGGCCTCCTGCGGTTACAGTTTCGACCTCAGCTGGGCCCACTGTGCTCACCATGGCCGTTCTGCCTCCTGACCTTGGTCTGATCTATCACCAGGCGGCACACTTCCTAGGGGCAGTGTAAAGAGAAGCTTTTTCCTTGAGAGAAGCCTTCCCGCCAGCCTGGTTCTAGAGCCGCTTGAGTCCCAAATAAACACACAGGAGGCTATATTAATTATGAAGCTGTTGGCCTTGCTTGCTTCTTATTGACTAGCTCTGACTTAAGTAATTACCCCATAATTGTTAATCTAAGTATATCTCTTACCAGAGAATGGTTCCGGGCTTCCTACCCCCATGGTGTTACATCTTGTCTCTCTCTGTTTCTCCTTCCCAGAGTCCTTCTGGACTCCTACTCCCTCCTATCTTGGTTCCCTATTGGCTCAACAGTGCTTTATTGACATAATCACAGGACCTCCAACATCAGAGCAGGGTGACACTTCCTAGGGCCAGGACACTTCCTAGGGGCAGGACACTTCACTTTCTTGGGGCAGGAATCTTTCTAGGGGCAAGATGACACTTCCTAGAGGCAGGGTGACACTTGCTGGCACAGGCAGCAGTTTTTATATTTCAGCTCCCACATCTTAGCTGAGCAAGCGCTTTACGAAGGGGAGCATTGGATGACTACTGCCAGCTCTGAGGACCACGGACACTCTGGGAATGACTGACGGGTGACAGAACCATGTGAAAGTTGGGATCAGCGATGACCAGGCCTGCATTAAGACAAATGAGCCCCATACATTTGGCTTTGGGGCCCCTCCTTGGTGAAATACTGAAAGTCATCTTTTACATGTAAGACAAATGTAATGCAGGCTGGGTTAAAATCAAAGCATTTCCTTAGACCTCGAAGTTTCACTTTTTTTTCTTTTAAATCCAAAAGAAATGGGTTTTGTAGTTCCTCAGAACCCTGCCCACTGCGCCTGTTCACGCCCGACTCCCGCACTCCAGTGCGACACTGGGGACAAAGGAGCCCAGCTCCCCGGAGAAGCGGTGACGCTTCTGCCTCCCCACAGAACTGGAACGAGGGCGGCCATGGTTCACGAGGTCGCTCCATCCCTTTCACTTCCTGTTTCAAACATTTGGCTTTTCAATAGACATTGTACACACGGCTACTGCTAACATCTGTAAAGTGTCACAGAGTTAAGGAGGGATTCTGGAAGAGGACAGGAATCACACAGAGAGTGGCGGGGGGGGGGGGGTGAGGGCGTGGGCAACAGAGGCCGAGGGGCCACAGCCTCCTGTGTCTTGTGTTTGCCTGGGTCGCTGTTACAGACTGTCAGCAGATGGCGGGGTAGGGCAGACAGACCTATATTCTTTACTTTGTTACAAAAATGTGAAACTATGTCTGGAATGGAAACCAGGGGAAATTGACATTTACTAGTGCATTAAGTAGTAAAAGTCTCACTATGCAGCCCAGGCTGTCCTTGAACTCCCGATCCTCCTGCCTGGGCACCTAAGCGATGAGACAGGATTTCTCTGTATTGTTTTGGAGGCTGTCCTGGAGCTAGCTCTTATAGACCAGGCTGGTGGAGCACGCCTTTAATCCCAGCACTCGGGAGGCAGAGGCAGGCAGATCTCAGTGAGTTCGAGACCAGCCTGGTCTACAGAGAGAGTTCCAGGACAGCCTCCAAAACAATACAGAGAAATCCTGTCTCGAGAAACAAAAACCAAAATAATAAAAAATTGTTCCAAAATAATCATTTGCCTAGGCCACTTGTGAGGTGACTCACGAGGAGAGCAAGATTCAGGAGGATTGTCCGATTGTCCCGTACAATGGTTGATCCCTTTTCTTACCCCCTGCCAGTGCCAGTTCCTAGCATAAGCATTTCCCATACATCAGTAGACTTGATTCATGGAACTGTTTTTTTTTTAAGATACACTACAGGAGATGGGTATGAATGGCTTCAGAAACTCAGAGAAAATTGAGAGTAACAGTTCCTGTATTTTTAGTAATGAAAAGTCACCCATTCGTGGACACGCTCCCAAGTCTTGGGACAACTCCGTCTCTCGAAGAGCCCTCCATATTTCCCTCACTGGACTCACCATTAGAACCATGGCTTGGTGAGCACAGCTCCACAACCAGAGCCTTCTGAAGACAGGGGTCACATCGTTGTTAGACCTCCTACTACTGAGAATTTGTATCTCTTGATTTCCCATTTCCCGGCTGGGCAACTCACCCTTGATGTCATCCTCACCCCCGCAGGGGCTGAGCACGGCGATCAGGGCGAGGGTCCCCAGAATCAGAGCTCTGCTGGGCATCATCCTCTTCCCTGGGTGGTCTCTGCAGCTGCTGTCCCGAGTCCTCAACTAGAGTGTGTGACACCAGCCCAGGAGGTCTGACACTAAACCAAACCCCCGCCAGACCCAATCAGAAAATTCCGTCGTGATGACGTCACAGTTGCCAGGTGCAGAGCTTGCAGGGAGAGGCCTGGAAGAGGCAAGGGGAACTCCCTGCCTGGCTGGAGCCTGTGCTCAGAGTGGACCCCAGGGAATGCCCTAGGAAGGTGGGAGGCTCCGCGCTGGACTTTCTCCCGTGCATGTGTGTGTGGCTGGGAAGAGAGGAGGGAATTTCTGAAAAGCCTTATGGATAGGTGAACCCTGATAATAATGGTGCTCTTCACAATTTTCTGGGCTGTATGGTTCCGGAAGTCTCCTCTGAATTCATTCCTTTCCTGTGGCTTCCAGAACCCAGACACCCAGCCACTTTCTGGGGCTCCCACACATGCGTTAGCTGGTTTTGTCTTTTCTTTCTTTATTTTTTATAGCGTGTACAGAACACTCCAGATTGTACGCTGACCACCTACTCAAGGGGTCCCCGCAGGCGGTGGCCGGTCAACCAATGCCTTTACTCTTTCTCCTTGTGTAAACCCGGATGGGGAGCCTTCGGGACCTGTGGCCACCATCAGGACTGCAGGGTGTTTATTCAGATTTCCCCCTTCTTTTGAATAATCTTCATGCTATGTCTAAAGGAAGTTTCAGGACACTGAACACAATAGGAAGTTCTGGCTAGCTCGACTACTCTTAAAATATTTTTGAATCTAAGAATGTTTAATCAAATGTTGAAAGGTATTCTTGTAACTTAGAAAACATTTTGTTCTCCAAACACTGGGTTTTCCAAATTTGTTATCCTTTTATGCGATTGTTTCAGATAAATGTGAGAAGCTGTTGGTTAAATCAAGGCAACCTCGAGGGTTCTATTCTTCATAAAGACTGAGTGTTGTGCAATCTGTGGAGACCACAAGCTTGTGATCACTTGCGACCAGTTACTCTGTCCTTGTGAGATGAGTGTGTGAGCCCTTGGTCTTCCCAGAGGCAGAGACTGTGGAGTTGTGAGACAGACACCCCAGCGCCTGCCTGGATGCCACAAACTAGGTACTGCTCCAGCCTTCACCTTACTGTAGTTTGCCTCCTTCTGGGCAGATTTATTAAGGTAATCAGAGTTTTCTTGTCAGCCCCCACTTGCTGATGGAATGAGCATTATCTAAGTCCCTTTAGATAATGTAGGGACCAGTTTTGAGTGTCTGGGGTACAGCCCCCTATTGCTCAACCAAACACCCTTCCAGTTATCTGTGAACATATTCCATGGATGTAATTAATTCGTAAGTAAGAGAGATGACCCTGGACCATCGGGCTGAGTTGGCCACAGCTGGGAAGTCTTAAGAGCGAGCCAAGGCTTGTCTGAGGAGCAGGAGAGTCGCTGTGGCCCCTGCCTGCACCAAGTTCCCAGATGCCCTTCTGAGGACAACCTGCCCAGTGACCCTCGGACACCTGCCCAGTGACCCTCGGACATTCCAGTTCATCCCCACATCTGCGCAAAAAAATCCCTTGCAACAGTTCTCCTGGTATATATCCCCACTGGCTTTACTTCCCTTGTTCCAACAGACCGATATCCAGAGAAGCCCTGTGATACACGCTGGTGAGTTTTCTCTTTCGTTTCTTTTCTGACCTTTGCCCGGAGGCCTTAACAGATCTTACTAGTTGTTGGATGACTTCCTGCAGAGACCTGAACAAATGTCTGTTCACCCAACAGGACACAGACAGCACACTAATGAGATGACTCCCCCCAAGTCCAATTTGGTGAAGCATCGAGTTTGTCGGAATTACTGACAGGATCTCGGGAGAGGAGCTATAGGCACGTGGTGACCCAGAGGCAGCTACGCAGACACACAGACACACAGACAGACAGACACAGGCACAGAGGCACATGACAGACAGGCAGGCAGGCAGGCAGGAAGGCAGGCAGACAGGCAGACAGACAGACAGACAGACAGACAGACACACACACACACACACACACACACACACACACACACACACACATACACACAGAGTCCACCCAAGTCCAGGCCATGACTCATGAAAACTGCATCCATGAAGCCCCCTGCACAAGTTGCCGCCAGCCCCACAGGAGAGCGCCCTGTGGAGGAGAGGAGGGATGAGCAAGGTATCCTAAGTCAGATCCCCTGCTGCTGGAGTCGCAGGTGGTTGTGAAGCCACCCTGGCCCTGTGAGTGCTGGACCTGAATCCCAGTCCTCAGCGAGAGCAGCCAGAGCTCCTCACCACTGAGCCCTCTCTAACCTCACCTCGAGGCCACGGCGTACCCACGGTGATCATGCAGAAAAACGGGCGTGCACGCACACGGATAGACTTTGAAATAAAGTATAGAAATGAGAGCAAGGATGAGCTCACCCGAAACGGGAGACGCCAGGCACGAGAAGACAGGTTGTGAGGCCCCAGATGGCTCAGGGGTCAAGAGCACTGGCTGCAGCTGCGGTTGACCTGGGCCCTTCCCTGCACCCGCATGGGGCACACAACTGACTGGAACTCCATCCAGTTCCAGGACACCCTGTGGCCTCCCTTTGGTAGCTCCATGTGTGTGGTGCACATGAACTCATGCATGCACACACACACACACACATGAGTAAAACAATACATAAATATTCTAAAGAGAATACATGCTATATGATTCATTTCATCAGAAATCTTAGAGTAGACACGCTTATTCTGTCACGTGAAATTAGGATAGTGGTCATGCGTGTTTCATCCACAGTAGACTCTGGGATGTCCATGAGGCGTACTCTTTAAAGACTGTTTTTATTTTTAATTATGTGTCTCTGTGTATGGGTGTGCACACGTGGATGCCCCTGGAGTCGGAAGAGACGCTGGGCTCCCTGGACCTAGAGTTACAGGCAGCTGGAGCAATAGCAGCAACGAGGGTGCTGGGAAGTGAACTCAGGACCTCCGCAAGAGCAGTGAGTGCTCCTGACCCCGGAACCATCTCTCCCGCCCCGCATCTCTTTTAAAATTAATTGTTATCGGGGCATATTCCTTGTCCATAGTACTAGGCTGTGTAAATACACTTTATACAAGTGTGCCATGAACCATGGTCCTGTTTCCCACCAACCCTCCCTTCCTCCTCTGTTGTTCCCAATCCTTCCCCTAGACAGTGTCACCTCTCTCTCTCTCCTAAACAGTGTCACCTCTCTCTCCCCTGGACAGTGTCACCTCTCTCTCCCCTAAACAGTGTCACCTCTCTCTCCTAGACAGTGTCACCTCTCTCTCCCCTAGACAGTGTCACCTCTCTCTCTTAGACAGTGTCACCTCTCTCTCTCCTGGACAGTGTCACCTCTCTCTCCTAGACAGTGTCACCTCTCTCTCCCCTAGACAGTGTCACCTCTCTCTCCTAGACAGTGTCACCTCTCTCTCCCCTGGACAGTGTCACCTCTCTCTCCTAGACAGTGTCACCTCTCTCTCTCCCCTAGACAGTGTCACCTCTCTCTCCCCTGGACAGTGTCACCTCTCTCTCCCCTGGACAGTGTCACCTCTCTCTCTCCCCTAGACAGTGTCACCTCTCTCTCCCCTGGACAGTGTCACCTCTCTCTCCTAGACAGTGTCACCTCTCTCTCCTAGACAGTGTCACCTCTCTCTCTCCCCTAGACAGTGTCATATCTCTCTTCTAGACAGTGTCACCTCTCTCTCTTAGACAGTGTCACCTCTCTCTCTCCCCTGGACAGTGTCACCTCTCTCTTCTATACAGTGTCACCTCTCTCTCCTGGACAGTGTCACCTCTCTCTCTTAGACAGTGTCACCTCTCTCTCTTAGACAGTGTCACCTCTCTCTCTTAGACAGTGTCACCTCTCTCCCCTGGACAGTGTCACCTCTCTCTCTTAGACAGTGTCACCTCTCTCTCTTAGAAAGTGTCACCTCTCTCCCCTGGACAGTGTCACCTCTCTCTCCTGGACAGTGTCACCTCTCTCTCCTAGACAGTGTCACCTCTCTCTCTTAGACAGTGTCACCTCTCTCTCTTAGACAGTGTCACCTCTCTCCCCTGGACAGTGTCACCTCTCTCTCCTAGACAGTGTCACCTCTCTCTCCTAGACAGTGTCACCTCTCTCTTCTAGACAGTGTCACCTCTCTCTTCTAGACAGTGTCACCTCTCTCTCCCCTAGACAGTGTCACCTCTCTCTCTTAGACAGTGTCACCTCTCTCTCTTAGACAGTGTCATCTCTCTCTCTCCCCCTGGACAGTGTCACCTCTCTCTCTTAGACAGTGTCACCTCTCTCTCTCCCCTGGACAGTGTCACCTCTCTCCCCTAGACAGTGTCACCTCTCTCTCCCCTGGACAGTGTCACCTCTCTCCCCTAGACAGTGTCACCTCTCTCTTCTAGACAGTGTCACCTCTCTCTCCCCTAGACAGTGTCACCTCTCTCTCTTAGACAGTGTCACCTCTCTCTGTTAGACAGTGTCACCTCTCTCTCTTAGACAGTGTCATCTCTCTCTCTCCCCTGGACAGTGTCACCTCTCTCCTGGACAGTGTCACCTCTCTCTCTCCCCTAGACAGTGTCATATCTCTCTTCTAGACAGTGTCACCTCTCTCTCTTAGACAGTGTCACCTCTCTCTCCCCTAGACAGTGTCACCTCTCTCTCCCCTGGACAGTGTCACCTCTCTCTCCTAGACAGTGTCACCTCTCTCTCCCCTAGACAGTGTCACCTCTCTCTCCCCTGGACAGTGTCACCTCTCTCTCCTAGACAGTGTCACCTCTCTCTCCTGGACAGTGTCACCTCTCTCTCCTAGACAGTGTCACCTCTCTCTCTCCCCTAGACAGTGTCATATCTCTCTCCTAGACAGTGTCACCTCTCTCTCTTAGACAGTGTCACCTCTCTCTTAGACAGTGTCACCTCTCTCTCTTAGACAGTGTCACCTCTCTCTCCTGGAGAGTGTCACCTCTCTCTCCTGGACAGTGTCACCTCTCTCTCTTAGACAGTGTCACCTCTCTCTCCCCTAGACAGTGTCACCTCTCTCTCTTAGACAGTGTCACCTCTCTCTCTTAG